AACTATTAATGGTGTATTTTACCACCATAAATTGGTTATTATAACCAACTATTAATGGTATATTTTACCATCATAAATTGGTTATTATAACCAATCATAAATGGTGAATTTAACCACCATAAATTGGTCATTATAACCAATTATTAATGGTGTATTAAAATGGTTAAAACTACCAATTAATAAATGGTCATTACAACCATTGGCAATTGATTACCACAGATCCACTTTTCAACCATTTTTTTGTGGTAGATTCAACCAAACCATTTTTATAGTGTATAACATTGAATATGATAAATAATAAATGTCCTACTTCTTAATCCTTTGATTGTCCTTTCCATCAGAGGATTGTTTATTTCAGCATACAAGACCCGAACACCACCTGGTAATGCTTGGTTGTCAATCAAATGGACTGAGCGTAGCCCATTGGCGGAAGGCAATCTCAGATTTAATTGTTTGAAATAAGCTTCTTTGTGGGCGTTGCTTTTCTTTTGCCAGTCGGTCCAGATCTATCACGGAAAAGTCAAGGTTTTGCGTTTTTTTCAGTACGTAATTAGATACATGACTGTCATTTAATATTTTAACTACACTTTTAATAAATAATATTTTATATGGCTTTATGCTAATCATTTTGAAACAAAAGTAAAAATAAGATTATAGTGTATGACTTGATCAATTCCACAGCTAACACATATTTTGTAAAATCTAAGACCATTAAAAAATCACTTAAAGATTGATATATAAATCTAATCACTCCATGATGGACGGCAAGCCAAGCAGGTTTTCGCAAACCATTTGATAAGCCTACCGATAAATCGAGTTAATCGAGAAGAATATCAGGTATTTACCTTATCAACCATTGCATGATGGAAGAAGAACTCTGGTGCGCCAGATGAATCAAAGCTACACATGGTTCCATTGATCAAGCAATGAACTGTGTCGTGGAACGTTGAGCGTAGCGAAAGTTCAAACTCTTGAAACAGTGACGCAGGCGTGTTTAGCAAAATGGACAAAGCAACGACATCAGGTGGGTTGCCAGTAAAATTTCGTTTTAAACATCGAGAATCCAAAAAATTAGATGGTGGAAGCCTCCAAATTCCATCTCTGAATGGCCCATCTTTGACACAGTACGTAGGATTTACGCCATTTCCTCCTAGGCCACTATTTCCTGAATACCAAACATCCCTCTCAGTAGTTCCCCAAGGTGATCCTGAGACGACTGTCCAATCCCAGTACGGAACTGTAACATTACAATCAACTTGTCTAAGGAGGTTTTCATACTGCAGAATATACCAACGATGCCAAGTAAGAAAATGTTCTTCTCGGTGAATGCGGAAACCAATGAATATTTCTCTATGAAGAGTGATCAGGTTATTGTATCGACTTTGAAAACTGAAAAAAAAAGTCAAATCATAATAAATCAATAATAGTGGAAGGTATGGCGTTTGGTGCTCTAACTAATTAAAGCAACAGAAGTGGTGTTCATCAGTTTTAGCAAAAAGTAAATAGGCAATGTCCACAAGAATCGAAAAATTGTAAATTCAAGAATTCGTGGCAAGGGTCAAAAAATCAAATTCGCTCTTCTTTTAAAGTTAGATAGGCCATTATTAGATATGAATCCCTGCATAGTTAGAAAACGAGAGAAACGCTCAAGATGAATGAACAAACTTCTAACAGAGCGCGTTTGTAAAAAAATAAACCATCTGTGACAATTTTGGAATTTTCTACTTCATGAATCACTCTTTTTCGTTCATTGGACTGGATTCCAAGCTTATTGGGGCAAGGGAAGAATTTCTGGCGAGGGAAAGTAGGAGATGTTTCCGGGACACAAAACAAACATAAATACTACAGGGAATTCGAATGTTATTTGCATTCGACATCTTAGAAATTTAAACTTGTCGAAAAAAGCCAAACGTTGACCTTTATAATTTTGGAAAAACTTTCCATTCAAATGCCAGCGATATAAACGGGCCAGAGGGACTAGCCCAAGGGGTGCTTTTGTCACAAAATTCAGCTCTAGTTTGGCTTTGCTTCATGGACTGACTTAATAAAGAACATTTCTAGTTGTAAATTTAGTAGGCAAATAGTTTGATAGATAGAGAAACTATATAAATGTCCAACCCGTGTTAAACGAAGGAATCATTGACCAAATAAATGACAATGGCAGTGAATCGATGTCACATTTAACCAGGAAGCATCATAACATTGTATTTTATGGGGCCTTTTTCGCTTGGACATACCTAAATTAATTGAATACGGACATTTCTACCAAATTAAGTAAAATCTTGGACTTAATTCGCGTATTTAATCACTTGTTTGAACCAAGTTGTTCATTCCGTCGTGGTAGATAAATTGCATTTTGACTATTTTCCTTAGTTTGGGCCGTTTGAGAAGATCATATATATTAAGACAGATGCTTTTTAACAGGTTTTTAAGTTATTTCAAGACAACAAAAGAAAAGAAATATAGTTTTGAAAAATTTACTTTAGAAAAATTAGTTTACATTATCAATAAGTAATTTGCATAAACTTCAAAACAGTTCATATACCGCGTCAAACGC